TCATGAAACAATGATGACTACTGAAGTTGATCAAATACATTAGCGGCACGCAGTAAGTTAGACCACATGAACAGTCTGATACTGATTGTCAGCCAAACAGTTACCAATTCAACAGATTCTCTAGGATCAAAAACTATCAGTAATAAATCATCTCCGGGCTAAATTGAGATCTTCGAGTGGAGTTTATTCTCAANGATCTCTTCATTCAGAAAAATATATATTTTGTCGAGCGATTTTGTTATCCTGAGCAGACATAGCCATTTTCTGGAGATAGTCTCAATTCAATAGCACAGTCGCGCTCATTCGTACAAATTGATCACTATAGAGCAATCAATACGTTCATATTAGCAATAGGCGAATTGCGATCTTCGAGCTAACCGTCTTCTCAGGTTTGCCCGGAAGCATGCGAATTTTTTTCATCTTTCGATCCAGCAGAACCTTTAGATTCAGAATATTAAAAATTTTGCTGAGCTATTTAGCTTAGTTGAGGAGATATAGGCATTTTATTAATAGTATCTCGGGTGCCACCTTCAAGACTACCGTAAGCTCAAGTTTGCCCATTAACATATGAATTATGAATGAACTTGGGATGAATGATGTCTGATTTAAGATGAATATTTTGCCAAAATTATGAAATGCCGTGCTTTATCAATTCCCGAAATTTTCAGAACCTGATCTCTGGTATTGGGGTCGAAAATTCGGAACATTAGCAACCCGAGAACCCATGCAAATACTAGGTCCGTAGGCGAATATTAGGAAAACAGCTAATTTTCACTCTGAAGGGGTCTGTTCAGGCCTGTTATGAGTAGCATTTTTGTCTATGAGTACCATTAATGATTCAGTTGAACTGTGTGACTGATGCAGTAGAAATTCTCACGGAAGTTTGATGAGTTGTGTTTATTTCCAGATGCTGGTGAATTTTTCGAACGAATAAGGAGGTTGAGATGAATGTTACTGTCAAATTGCGATTGCCAGTATCGAATGTGAATTCGAAGTTTCAGCTGTTCATTGGTGAAGGATTCTATATTTTCCTCAAATGTAATGTGTTGTATTAGGAGGATTTATGATAGTTTCAATTTCACTGTGTTTCTCATCTTATAGCCATCATAATTTTTCTTATATTTTGTTATCATATTATGACTATCAGACGATGTGAATCATGAAGTCCAAAATATTTGCATATCGAAAGTTACGGTATCATACTGTTGAGAAGATGAATGTTCAGGAATTAAAGTTGATTGGATCGATATTTGAAGTCAGTTTTTGAGTGCATGAAATCAAATTGATGCATGGCATTGAACATGATATTCACGTTGAATAAATCTTTAACGCATTCGGTTTGAAAAAGGATAACTGCCCTGAAATCAGCTGATGGGAATCCCAATATTTGTTTCGCTTCTTGCGCTACTTAATCTGGTTGCATTGATTTGCTTGACTGTTGCTTTCATAAATGCTATTATGCCTTCCTCGCTTACCTCTATTAATCTACTGAATGCACTATCAATCAGCTGGATACCTGTATATCTGATTGGTGGTTACCTGAAACGATATATCCAAATGATCCAATCAGGTGGTTGCGCTGCAGCATCATCACTGTCAGTTCAAAAGCGGCTAGGCGCCAGACGCCTCTTCTTATCCGAAGATGTCCCCAAATAATCGCCGAGGACTTATCACAGAAGAGACAAGCACTGGAGTTGGCCATCTGACTGGGAAGGAAGGAATGGTTTATACCTTTCATTTCTATTATAGGTGATGGCACTTTTGATGGAAGAAGCTTTTGCTGACTATGACGAGAGGACGAATCGCTCAGCATCTTTCTTGGCTGTATAGTTAGATTGTTTAGTTAAGCTGCATCATTCGGTGAGATTGAATGCAATGCATTTGAATGTTTGACGACGTGTTTGCACGTTGGAATATCTCCAAATCGACGGAACTCTTAATCTGCAGTTGATTTTGTGCTGGAAATGCTATATCTTTAGAGAATCAATGCTTTTAGTTGTTTTTAGTGACCGTTTATCCAGAAAATGTTGCTGCATTGCATTCTGAGAGTTTTGAGTAGTAACGTGTTCGATATATACGAAATATGGTATAATATGTCGAATTTCCAATGAAAATTCAATGCAATGCAATTGAATTGCTCATTTTTAAACTGAATCGGGCGTAATCAAATCTTATGCGTATCGATTCTGTTTCAATGTGCCGTTGAATCGTGGAATAATTGTCAATTTTCAGACGTTCTTCCATCATTCTGTTGAATAACCGATAGAACCGAACAAAATGGTGTTAATCGGAGCATCAGTGATAACAAAAAGTGGAAAACGTGAGTGAATCGATCAATCTAAAATGATTCCACCTGAAATCAAACCTTTATATATTTTTCGTGATTCGTCTCACATTAAATGAGCGGAATAAAATATGAGATTTTTTGTGGTCGTAATACTATCATTCGTTGGAGATTGCTCGTAATTCTAAAGCTTGGACTCATGAGGTTACGCATTTTTATTCGTGCGTGAGGTAATCTAATGCTCGAATTATTTTGCAATCGAATGAAGCTTTTGTAAAGCTTGGCTGAAATGGTTGCCGTCGATATATGACACGAATTTGCAGCTCTTTTGGCTCGTGTTTTCATTTCGGATATGACCAAAGCTCGTCTCGAAGGTCTGTTAGACGCATTCCCGAAGTTGATCGCCTCGGATAAATCCCAACGCCAGCATACGTTCGTTGAAACAGATAGTGTTCGATATGTATTCCATCCTTTGGACAATATTTACATAGTTCTAGTCACCACGAAGGCCTCGAATATACTCGAGGACCTCGAGACTTTACGTCTGTTCTCGAGAGTGGTTCGTTTATTTGTTCATCCTTCCACTCATTCATATCCCGATAGTTTTAATGCAGTCTAATTATAATTTTAGAATATTCTCAAATGATATTTTTTTCAATTAATTACATGATTGTTTAGAGTAGTTGAGTTCTTCAAACTTGTTAACTGCCCTATGTATGAAATTTTGGTGTTTTATGCAGTAAAGAGAGCATCTTTTTGTAAATTAAACTCAAACGTCCGGCAGCTGTTACTTGTTTTTTTTTTCAGATTCCAGAGTACTGTCGTTCGAATGATGAAAAAGAGATTCAGTCAAATATATTCGATTTGATATTTGCATTCGATGAAATTGTTGCGTTAGGATATCGTGAAAATGTGAATTTGGCACAGATACGAACATTCACTGAGATGGATTCACATGAGGAGAGAGTCTTCAATCAAATTAAGATCGTTCGTTTTTTCGTATAAGTTGTTTTGATTCCACTCTTGAGATGATATAAAACTAGTGTTTGAAGATGTCATTGGAAATTCATTAATCAATTAATTTGGCAGGCACAAGAGAAGGCTGCAACTGAGATGATGACACAAAAAGCAAATGAATTGAAGAAACTCAAAGCTGAACAAAAGAAGGCAGGAAGAGGTTTGTCACACGATTCTGAATCCGATTAAATTTCGCTGATATTCTATTGCGTTAACAGTCGGTAGTTTTCTAATCACTATATTCTGATTGAATGATGTGTCGTTATTTTTAAGGAATGGCAAACAACGTAACATCGATAAGTTCATCGTCTCCGCCGATGCTGAGCGCAGTCAGTGATGATATGGCAACGTCAACAGTCATATCATCAATGCTTCAGAAGAATATTGCGTCGTCTGTTGGTGCTACCCGAGGCACGGGTGGCGGTGGCCACGCGCTCAAACTTGGTTCAAAAGCAGCGGACGACGATCTGTTTGTCAAGCAGTTGAAGAGTGAAGGTGCAGCGTTTCTTCCCTTTGATTTCGTTCGATTCCCTACCAAAAGTTCATGATTGTTTCAATGTTTCAACTCAGGCCAAATTATAACGCAAGTCGATCGTGCATCAATAAACGCTGGATCTGTGGAGAAGGCAGTGCTGTCGAGTATACCCGCTGTTCAGCATCTTCCGGTACACATCAAATCCGAAGAAAAGCTTTCCGCTGTTGTTTCACGCGATGGAGGTCTCGAAAGCTGTGAGGTTAGTTTACTGAATATTCATTGTTTTTATGAATCATTAGTTTCTAGTCTTTCTCCTTAGGGCATATGCGGATGTTCTCCATAATCCGCCTCGACGTTTTCATTCTGTAGAGGTCGAATTGAAAATATGCACTGATTTTGTAGATATTGGGTAGTGTTGCGATTCTGCTGAGTGATTCGCAATATTCAACAGTCAGTGTGCAAATGAAGAATAACGATCAGCATGGCGTTCAACTTCAGGTTTATTTTGCGTTTGTTTGAATTGGATTACAGCGATGAATCTGTTGTTGGCTACTGAAAGTAAGAGAGTAACTAAAACTCCGATTGAATGTTTAGATGAGTTGTTGATATTTGAGGTGCATCCAAATCTTGATAAGAAGGAGTGGCAACAACGAACGTTACTGAAATTGAAATCTGCCAATAAACCATTTCCAAAGGATGTCGAAGTTGGCGTCTTGAAATGGCGATTGATATTATCCAATGAGGATGCACTTCCAATCACACGTTTGTTGATTATTTTGGAATTTTATTTCGAGTGATTTCATGCAATCCTCAGAAATTCAGGGGAGTGTCGAATCACTTTGCGGTGAAAGAGAGCGAAGTGATTGAACGGAGATGTTTATCAGTGCACTGAAGTTTCAGTTCGTTTCGAGATAGAATGAACGGGAACAGAACAGATAACTGCAAACAGTTATTTGAGATGGTATCAAAAATATGATGACTTAATTGCAGAAAGTTATTTCAGTGAACTGTTGGCCGAATGAAAATCCAGATGGTTGCGTTGTCAACATTGAGTACACGTTACAAATGGAGCACATGACGTTGAATAATGTTGTTATAACCATTCCTTTGCCGTTAGTATTACTCATTTGTATCGCTCCATTTCATTAATTCATAAATCCGAATTCAAGCGTCTTGGATGTGTCGAGGGTAACACAGTTGGTCTCATCACAAGAGATGGTTATCATATCATATCAATGTTGTAGTGTATGATTGACCTAGTCGTAAGTAATATGGTAACAGTATTCCTCAAGTTTTTCCCAAGGAATTCACTGCAGTTGTTTGAAGGGCAGCCACAGTACCAGTAGTAAGTGAATGCGAGGGCTCATACGAACACATCAAGTCGAAATCGTTGTTGGTATGGACAATAGCAGTAATTGATGAAACGAATAAGAATGGAACACTCGAATTCACCACTGATAACGGGCAACCAAACCATTTCTTCCCTGTCAACATGCGCTTTTCATCGGATGACCTTTACTGTAATATTGAGGTGCGTTCAATTCTCAGACGTTTCAAATTGTTTTGTATCTTTCTTGTACCTCTAATAAATGGTTTCAGGTTGAATCGGTGCAAAAAATGGATTCTGACGAGCCGGTAGAGTATTCGAAAGAGACGAGATTAATAACTGAAAAGTTTGAAGTTGTTTAAAATGATATGCATCATTTTTAATGAGCAGAAAAATGTTTCTGTTAATCATCATTCGATAAATGATTGTGCCTCGATACTATTTTTATGTTAAAAATACCAAAATGGGTTTGAAGCACGACATTTTCTTGTCCTAGGGAAAGATGATTGATGCAGCAACTGAATGGAAATTCATATTAAGCTTTTGCTTTTCATTTGATTGGTACGAATGCTGAATTGAGTCTTTCGGTTTTAAACTGGTGTATTGCAATTGTATGCACATGATGGAGTATCATATTTACAGTGATTCTTCTGATTTGACAATCGTTTATTATTTAATTTATTACTCGAATATCCATTTCCGTTTTCTTCTGTTTAAACTGAATACATATTCACTCCTTATAAAACTATTATTGTTATTATCGAAGTGTTTTTTTGTTCGCATTCACTAAATCATTTGATTTTATATCTGTATTTGTTATCAGTTGATCCTCTTTATATTGATCCTTGTTCTATTTTGGTGATGGGAATTAGAATATGTTAATGGGAAATATGCACATTACGTTTTGTTCTGAAAATATTGTGATTTTAATAAAGATGTGATATATTTTTGTGAATGCGATCATATGAGATTGTTGAAGGGATTGAGAAATTAGGGGACATAACCTCATGAAACAGTTCTTATTTGATACCATTCATCAGAAACTGTTAGATGAAGGTATTAATATCAGTTGGTCTGTCTTCACATTAGTATATCAATTTATCAGTTCTGGTTTTCGAATGAAAAATGGAGTGATTAAAAAATCGTAGGAAATCGAGTGTGATTGTGATACGAAACGTTCATAGGATCAGATGCAATATTCACTGACCCATTCCCAGTTGATGATTGTTATCGGATATCTGTTATCAGGTGATGATAATGGTGATAAGTTGTTGTAATTGGGAAGAATTTCTTTGTTTGTGTTTTGTGGTAATTCATTTGTTTTGTTTTCGTTATTACTGTTTGGATTATATCAAAGTATCACATAATTAAATACTTTTAATCAACAATAATCGGCACTAATATTTCAAAAACAACAACAATTGAATAATAACAAAAAGTCGTATCAAGTCAATTAAAAGATGCCAAATATTCAACCGTAACAAATCACAATGGAATGTATGTCACACCAAAATGAATAAGCACTAAATAATATAATGAAGCGGAGAGTTTCGATCCTCTCCGAAGACCGGAAGCAAATTTGCATTCGAAAGAATACAATATGGTTGAGAAAAAGGTAATGAAGAGACAATGTCATACATAATACCGGTATCTAAAAGATATTACTGGGCAATCGAAGTAATCGAAGAAAACTGTGATAACATAGGAATGGGATCAGATGGATGGATGACCTCTTCGTGCAACAACGAACAATGCTGCAAATCATTTTGATCTAGGTGAAGAATAGAACAATATCAAAAAAAACTCCATTATCATTAGGCAATATACAACTAAAGAACAATAAATTTTCGACTGAGAATAATTGAAAGATGCTGACAGCATGAAAATGATAACAATCAAATGAAGAGATACAATCAGAGGGCTGATTCGGCAATATTTCAGCATATTTCAGTTGATTAGAAATGCTATAATATGTAGAGAATTGATTGTGTTAAGCTTGATAAATGTCTTCAGAGCATATTTGAACATGCAACTATCATACAACGATCAGAGATAAATATTTTACATCAAAATATGAAATCTGAATATATTTTTAAAATCTCTCTTTTTTTACAGAAAATGTTCAGGGAGATCCGTAATGCGAATTGCATTTCAGAGAAGAATTATCAGAGAGGGAAGATCTAGCAACTGAGACGATTTTTACAAGTCGATGCAAATTGCGTTCACTTTGAGACTTCCTACCAGAAAACGTTGTCGTCAAATCTTCAAAACGTTGTCGTCAAATCTTCAGAAAATCAATGTGATAATATCCCTTTCTGACTAAGCGTCTGCGTTGAAGAAAAGAATATTTCATGAGGAACACCATAATTACTGGAGAAATTCATGAATTTTCAGCAGTTATACAGATAAAGACTGAATAAAATGAACAAAATAGCTATCAATTGAACGCCACTCTTCGAAATGATCACTGTGTCCCTTATCTTCTTCCTCAAAAAGGCAATTTCATCCTTCAGCTTGCCCACACGACGCACCTCAGCTTGCAGTTGCTTTTGAACCTGTAATTTATCTTCTAATATAATTGGCCGTAGTAACTGAGAAAAAAGATGGCGATTAATGGATTCAAACAACAGTGATGATATTAAGAATACAATGGTGACAACAAGAGCATCGTGATGCAAGTAAGGATACAACAATGAACAAGAAAACACTGATTAAGTGGTAGTTTGGACAGGATGAATGTTGATAGTGATAATGAAGATAGAAAATAATAATGAACAGTTTGAATAACCCGTTCAACGTATTCAAGAGCGTCATCCCATTGCTTCAATAATTCTTGATTCTGCTGTGAGAGTTTCAGTCTCATTTCGTGTTCATCTTCATATTGTTCCAGTATTCTTTTAGCGTCGTTAACCGAAGTCGTTTGATTCCCGCATGAATCAATGTATTGGATCGTTGAATCCGACATATTTCCCAATGAGGCCTAAACATACTTAATTCATGAATTTATTCAGTTAAATCTCACTTTCTATAATAGCGTTCGAAAGTGACTATTGATCACGGCAAAGCACATTGTCTAGTCTCAAGTGATGCAAGCTCCAACTACGAATTATTTTTGCTTCTCATCAATACAGATCAAGATTGAAGAGAAACAATTATTGGTGCATTATGCTGCAAGAGTGCAAATAACACCAAGTTAGCCCATTGCCATATACAGGTCATGGAAATGAACGAAGTTGCAAAATCACAAATATTCAGATATAATATTCATGCAGTTATGAAAGGCTAAAATTTGTACTTGGCCTCTCAGGAGCGTTTGTTATGTGAGAGTTAAGTATTGAAAAGATAGACAGACGGATAGTGGAAAGGCAAAAGAGAAGGCACTTACCAAATTTACCTTGCCAAACGAGTAACTTACCAAATCTGCGGATAAATTATCGGAATAATTCTGTTCGAGACGGTCGATCAGCTGGCAGTTATCCGTGATAATCGCGTCCTTCAAACTCAACTCTTCCTCCAGTTCCTCGATTCGTTTATCACGCTCTCTCAACTGTCGCATCAAATCAACAACTTTTTCATCAGTTTCAGTGAAAATGTTCAAATCGCTCTCTTCGTCCTCACTGAAGTTTCAGAATTTTAACATTTGCGATGGATTCTTGAAGGGTGTTTATAAAGAATGAACATTTCAACTAGAATCGTTCATTAGCAAATAATCTAATTTTCAGTAAATCAACTGCATGTTAGCTCAGACTTTAATCGTTCGTTGGTAATGTGATAAAAGATAGTTAACAATGGAGATATATACAGCATTATTCGACCTTTTCAATGTGTCATCCTGTAAACAGGTATCCATTTCCACAGTGCTCTATCTAAATTTTCACGAAGCGTCTTGAGGAATTTCACGCTTGATTCGAACAATTTATCACAAATCTTGCCTTAAAACTGGTATTATTTTACAATTATTTTAAAATGCCTTAAAACTAGTATTTAAGTTTTATTATTTCAAAAAGATAATTGGACGAAGTACAATTCATCGAAAGGAAAACATTTAGTCCTTTAATATTCCAGAAAAATCGCCGATAGTTTAAGCAGACAATGAAACAATGACAAAATGTCTAAATAAGCAGTGAAACGAAAATTATAGATGATAGACTCAATGATAAAATAGTGATAGTGATGAGTATCAATCACGAGTTCTACGGAAATTTGCATTTACCACTAATGCTTTTGATCAGTACCTCATGGAAACAGGATGCGTGCCGTCGTTAGTAGTAAGAGTAACGAAACATAAAGAAATCTTCGGATGAAATGAAAGTAAAACTGTGTGAATTGAAGCATTAATAGATGTGAACTAAATTAAAAATGAAACAAGTGGATTGCTCGAAGCAATATAGTTTCACTAGTCTCAACGAATGCCTGAGTGATGCTGAACTTGTTGAAGCGTTATTACAATGCATTTGTTCTGCACTAGACAAGTGACCGACCACAGCTGTGTTGCTATTATCGATAAGATGCACTTGAACCTCAGCTTATGGCTAATTATAACACAAATTTCAGCTTTACTGCACACATCTTCTCATGACTTCCGCAAACATGCAAAAAACATTTGCTGATTCAATGATTTTATTTTTTGCCTTCACGGCAGGTTTATCGGTTGGATGAGAGTTCGCAACGAATTTTACACTCTTCAACACATTTCAGAAGTCGGTTGTACAAATACAAGCAAAATTTTCGCCATACATAAGCGTAATAAGCGTAACAATACAATCACAGGAAAATGATCTTTAGTTAGCAATAAATTGATCAGAAGAACGAAATTTGTTAGAAATTTGTTTGTTTGGTGATTGTTTATTTATATTTTAATTTATTGTGGCTTGATTTTAAACGACTGTCGAACGAATCCAATCAGTGCAGTGAGCAGTGCACCCGCAATAAACATCCACATACCGAATATAATTTGCGTCCACAAATCTGCAATTCTACAGTCTTTAAGCATTTCCGAGGAAAAAACGGTATGAATTGAGTTGAGAAGAGTATGAAAATGTTTGATTTAGTTTTCGGGCAAACCTGAGAAGACGGTTAGCTCAAAGATCGCAATTCGCCTATTGCTAATATGAACGTATTGATTGCTCTATAGTGATCAATTTGTACGAATGAGCGCGACTGTGCTATTGAATTGAGACTATCTCCAGAAAATGGCTATGTCTNCTCAGGATAACAAAATCGCTCGACAAAATATATATTTTTCTGAATGAGGAGATCCAGCTGGATCGACTGATCCAAAAAAATTTACATGTTAGTGGGCAAACTTGAGCTTACGGTAGCTTTGAAGGTGACACCGAGATAGTGTTAATAAAATGCCTATATCTACAGTGAGCAAATAACTGTGATAGAAAATTTGCGCACATTTCAGTGATTTTTCAACGTTGCTAATGACCTATCTGTATTTTTTACCCAAAAATGAATTTAATTTACTCGGATGAAAACTCCAAAAGTTTTCTTGTCAATAACACATTGAAAACAAGTGGATCGTTGTTGTTCGCATCAAGCAGATGTGCATATCATTCGGTACCTTTCGATAGCCAATTTGAAACCAGCAAAGCAAATAATAAGCGTACCGTTCTTGTGCTCAACAGAGGTATGTCCATCATGATTCATTAACGCAAAACAAAACTGTCGTTCCGAGCAAACGCGTGACCTCCAACGTATATTCGCCTCATCCTTCCACTCCACAAAATCATCTTTAAAACATTCAGCGATTCGTAAGATTACTTGCTCGTAAGGTTTCAATAAATAATCGCATGACAAATTTACAATCGGAAAGATTACCAGATCTGCAGTTTTTCGTGAAGCAGTCTTCGTGCTGTATTGAACTGAAATGGTTTCGATGATTGATGCGTTTTGTTCGATAACGAACTCCTCGACCACAACTCACACTGCAATCTGACCATTCCGCCCATTTGCTGTGCGAATGTTTCCTATTGCTCTGAACTGCTGTTTGTATCATGGATGTTGTTGCTATATTCGCTGAACAGATCGCTCTGAATCGTATCATGTCCATGCTCGTTTTATTGTTTCTTTCGTCATCATTTCCACCATCGAAGCCATGCATCCATTCGGTCCATTCACTGAACCGTCTCACTTCTGAAACATAAAAGTTTGTCACTGAATGAAACAAATACGATACTTTCGAGTGATAAACTTGACACTCAAGAGTTATGAAATTGAAATAGATACCGTTGCACTTTGATAAGTGGCATTCACGCGATTGTTGTTCTTGTGTTTTCATTGAGCAATTGTTGGCGAGAGAGAAGCGATGACGATTCGATGAGCCTTTGCTGCACACGTTTGCACAAGTGCTCCATTCAGTCCACTCGGTGTAATGGCATCTGAAAGTGTTGAAGATTTGTCGATATTCGTCTTATTGCACTGTTCAACTATGCGCACTTGGCCTACTAAGCGCTGGCACAATTGAACACTCCAGGATCCCGAATGTCTATGGGTTAAGTGTGCATAGACGAAATGTCTGGCCACGGATCCATCATTCTGATAAGTTGATGGAAAATGTCAGGTGATCTTCATTGTGATTACCATTTATGATACTCTCAAGTCTGCGCTCTTCCATTCCTTTCAATTATTCGGCACGTTATGCTATATGATCAAACAAAGAATGGGAAAGATCAAAAAGAGTAAAAGAGCATAAAAGTGAAGCTCGCAAAAAGATTTTCATTGTTATCGTAATTACTGGTTTCTTGTTCATCCCTACAGCGACATAATCAATCAATCAAATATTTTTGAAGCATTTTCCTGAAGAAGTGCTGCAGTCAGTTCAACTTTGATCAGGATGCCTCAATAAATCAGTCGAATTTGCGTGATATTATCAACACATGGAAAGTAATTCTTAAGTAAGCAATCTTCTCTTGAACAATGTCTCATTTATTTGGAAGTTCACTGGCAAAATGAGCAGCATTGAACGGAGAAGATGGATTGATTGTATTGATGTGTCTAGAAAATGACGGAAGACAAAATTCAAATCTTAAATAATCGGTGCACAGTTTTCAATTAAGCACAAACTTCGTTCCATCTATTGGATTCCATTCGAATGCATTCTCGTTGACTACTGCTTTATTGTTGCTATCGTCATTGTTGATTTCACTTAAGTTGATTTTATTAAGGTGCTTTAAGGAGTTTTCCAAGACATTTCTACGTCTGCATTGATCGATTTGTATTTGTTGCGAAGTATCTTTGAAGTCGCCCTTACGAAATTTCCTTCCACGACACAAACAAATAATTTGTTTATTGGAGAGATATTCGCAATGCTTCCACTCTGACCATTCCTCTATAAATGATAGCATTAGTATCCGTATGATAACAGAATAAGAGAAGATAAAATGATATTAGCAATGCAATTAATGTGTTAACAACTGCTTAGCTGAAATTAAGAATAACTGATAATAAATCAAGCCAAGTCGGTCATACCAAATTGCAACTCATTAGAAGCCTTTGATTCATTTAGCAACCTGTTTATCTGAATGACCGATTTTGAAGTAATCAAGAGAAAGCCCTGAAATTATTAACGTTCACATTAGGACCTCATTTTCAGGATGGATTGACTCCATTCTTAACTTGAAATGCACCGTTCCCAGGCGTTGAGAAATTTGATCTATATAGTGATCATTCATTATAACAAAATATTATCGCTAGACCTTTTCTGTTTTCCGAATATATTTAACACTATCCTTCAAAGTGATTTTGAACGAATCTCTCAAAATGAATTTAGTTTGGTTCATTTCATACTGCAGTAATGTGCCATCTGATGTAACTGCGACAACATCAACGCTTGCATCCTTTCCGTGAACTGCATCGAACGCTGTGATCCTGAACTTCATTCACAGCGGCAAATAAATGATGAAATATGGGAAAAGCGAAACGATCCAAAAATCATATGATGTGATCAATAAGAAAAGAGACATAACAGACGTTCTAGTGACTTAAAAATTGTTGTGAATGCAGAAAATATGAAGGTACGGCTGAATGATGCCGGCGAAGTGATTTCTCGAACTGATTACATAGCATCAACTGCCAGTGGTCGCATCTTGGAGCAACACGCAGAAAACCAGCAAGATTTTGCAGATGATTTCCGATAAAAAATTAATGGATAGTAAGATAATTTGATATGCAAATACCCACTCGACCAATCGGTTCATTGCTGTGGCAAATTTAGGTTTAACGTTAGAAAACGCCGTCTTTCTTTGTTTTGACAACGTCCAATACGATTCACTCAGGAAAGACTCAGTGTCTTTTTGAATTGCTTTGAAATTATTGAGTCGACTGAACGAAACCGTCTTGACACTTTCAAAAGCATGATCAATATCACGCATATGGAATATACAAATTGCTGTGATCGGTAACGTTGAATGACCGTTCCAAAATGAAGCGATTAAATAATGTTGATAATGAATTGCGGCGTTTATTTGGTGCAGTTTCATATTCATATCTTCTATATTACATTCCAGTTCTTGTTTTTTGAATGAACTGAACGTGTTTCCATTCGTTCGCTTATGAACACCGTCATCAGCTTGCACACGTACCAGGTACGTCTGAAACTGCATCAGTAAAAATCTGATGCATAACTCGAGGCGATCTTAGAACTTCTTCTTTCACTTTTTATTTTTTAAGCACCATATATTTTGATGTGATGGAGTCATACCCCTATTGAGCAGTCATATCAATTAGCAAATCACACACAAAGATCTCTCTATAGTCGTGCTGATACAACAGTTATTTTAAGTTTTCTTTGAAACATACCCGCATTGTTTCGAATTGATCACGTTCATTTGTGATTAAATAAACAAATTGGTTCGATGTGAAGAGAGTGACGAAATTCGGATCTGAAAAGAGATATTATCGCATGCGTTTACCATCTGTTGTTGCAACAGTTCACCATTTTGATCACCAGTCGTGATAAAATCTCATTCAAGTTGATCATCTACTGCGAAAACTGAACATCGATAATGTTGAATAGTGAATGCAAAATACTAGATTCGTTGAATCCTCCCTAGAACTCATCGATTCTTCTGAGCATCTACTGAATTCGAATCTTAAATAAATCGCTGAGCTGTCCGCTTGTTTACTATTTGTGATTCAAGTCATGCACCTAGACTGCTTTGCTCTCGAATAATACTTTCATATTTCTGCGGAGTAGTCGAAAATCGCAGGCCTTCCACAACTACTAGCCTTCAAGATTGAATAACTTAATTATGGAGGTGTTAAGATATCTTCAAGACAATGCATCATATTGTTAGTGTCACCCAAAGGCTAATCACTTCACCCTACCATTAAACCAGCGATCATCATTTGCTGGTGTCCAGATTCGTTTTGATTCGGGAATCGCTCTCAAGAACGTTTTTCGTTTGCAGTGAACATCAGCAGATATGGCAGCGAATACTGCGTCACCATATGCCAAGTGCAACGATGGACACACTGCCCTGGGTGATGCTAAACCAGTGTGTTCCATGTCATCAGAGCACTTCGTCTCCAGGTTTTGCTTCTGAAATGAATGATTACCGTTGGCCCTTTCGATTCTGCGCTATGATTTTCCTTCTGGGAATCTTTATGAGACAGATGCACATCAAGTACTGAACTGAATGAGTCCACTGAATGCTCACGGAGTTATACATCATTTGTAGGCGATGCGACGTTTTGATGAATCACTGATTTCGATATCGTTGGTGTACAATTCTCAGCAATGATTCGTAAGGTTCAATTCAGCAAGATAAACTCATTTCGTAAGCAAATATTTCAACATGCAAACTCGGTTAAGTATAAACAATCAGTGGATGCGCTGTTCTTATAGTGATCAATAAAAATAAGAATCGATTTACCGATCTCAATGTACATGCTGGTGACATTGCATTAGTGCCACAAATGAGGATGCAATCCTGGGAATAATCAATTATGGCTCGGATGAAATTCCCACATTCAAACTGAAAGACACAATTCATGAATTAATTCTCTTCAAATCATTTGATCTTTCGAAGATCAGTATGCATTTGTTGACAGTGGTCTACTGAAAGATTTTTGAAAGCAAGGTCATATTAGACAATGAAGCGGCGATTATACCTCAGAGAATCCCTTCAGGAGACAGTCTACAACAGCTTTATCGCTGGCATTCAACGCCAGAGACGAATATACTTCAGAGTTATTTTTCGGAATAACGAACATTCGATTCCTGAAAAGTTTGGGTCTGAAATATCACTCCACTTAATGAAGTAATAAGAATTTTTGAAATTTTTCATGAGGTAGCTAAAATTTTCTGTACGGTATAACTAAAGGATGATCTCCTGATTCCACCCGTAATTTCATTCCTTCTTCATCGAGTAACTAAATAGCGCTTGGGAATCCACCATGGATTCACGAAACAGACGCAATCTCTCAAGCCCTGCTGAAGAGGTGAAAATAAAGCGAATTTTGCCCTTACCTTGAACCGATGAAAATTATATTGTCAGCAACGAGAACGGAATGGAACTCATCAAACACTTGACCATTAATCAAACTTTTCATTCGATAAAGCCGAGAGGATCTGACAGTATACAAGCACAAAGCCGTTAGCAATGACCTCATCAAGAGCATTTTTGCTCGCAGACTGAGTGTCAGTATTGAAGCCAGCAGAATGATTCAGCGTTCGAATGGAATTTCAATGAATTACATCCTCTGAGATTGTTGAACCACCACCAGCACCACCTGTTATCTAATCGATCTTGCATGTGTCTCCAATCCACCTCATTAACTCAAAAACTGTGTCTCCAATATATTAACTATTCATACACCTCAATTCTCCTTTCTTGTCCACAACAATAACCTCACAATAACCTGCCAATTTAGTTTCATTTCACTCAATATCGTTTCGCTGTAGTGAAACAGTTAAGCCTTGGAAATATTATGCAGGTGAGATTTGGGCGGAGATTGAAACGGAGATTATATCTGCCGAATGAGGGATTTCTAATCAACAAGATTTATATTCCTCTGATTACTCATGATACGTTCTATCGGAGTATTGTAAACACTTTGTTTAACAAAATGAGCTTCCACATGGTCAAAAATAAAGATTCTTAAAATGTGTCATTATACTGCTGTTCAGATATGTACGCAGAGCAAATGTTGAAAGAATGAGGCAATAACATATACCTATCCAATAGTGTGGTGCGGGGATGGAAGAATTTCGGGGTCGCTGTCCCCGACTTTTTCCTATCCCCGCATCACATTACTACACAATATATCCATTCAAGAATAGACATTTCGGATATTTCTGCTTATGCCCTATCAAAATGTCCTAAATTATGCGAAAATCGCCGATCAAATTTGAGCTCACAAGCTATCTTCCCCGAGCAAAATCGGTAGGGAGCAAAATCGATCTCGCTTTGCTGAAATTTGCCAATATGATCTAATCTTTGTTCATTTAAATTGAAGTGCCGCAATAAAACAAACCATTTTGATCATCTTCAAGTAATATTTTCACCAAATTTGATCTCTTACTGTTTTTGCAAGTTTTTTAAATGCTCTCGACGATTTGATCTCTGTTTTGATCTTTTACTCTCGATGATGATGATTTGTTTTGGTTCATTTCATTGTTGATGACACTGTCAAGTCATGTGCCTGCGTGTAAGTGTTGTTGCGCACCAGTATGGTTCAGTGCTATTGATTTCTGTTACTTATGCAGCAACTGCTGAATTTTTATTCTGTTCGAGCAGTCGTGGTGCAGCTATCGAGGTGCAACTATTCGAGGTGCAGCCAATCGTGGTGTAACTATTCGAAGTGCAGCTATTCGAGCAATCGTGCAGAATTCGATGCTAGTTGCCGTTGTTCTTCATGATTCTGATAAAGTCGAACAGGCGATTACTGACAAAAGTATTCAACACTGGTCGTGAGTTCTCTTATTGCTGATAAAATTAGTCCTATAATTGCAGTACATTACTACCGATCGACTGATTAATTAATATTATCATCATTCATTGTAAGTCATCGCAGTTATTTATCAGTGATCGTTTCATTGCACTGGAACCTATTATTAGTGGTTTGAAAGTAAAAGTGCGCAGCCATGAGTTTAGTACTCATTTGCAATTGGTATCTTGGTCAGCCACATAATTTGTATTGCGGCATTTTGCTGATTGTGACATAGAAAGCCAACTTGTGTTTTTGGGTAATTGTTGATACTTTGGACTTTACAACGAATTGGACAGTAAATGAGAAGAGTGCGCAGTGAATGAGCGTTGATTATACGAGCGATGATGATGCAAGTAGTAGCAGTGATACTGACTTAATAAAAGTCAGATCACGTTATATTTTATGATAATCGCATAGTACCTTGAACATATCAATAGATTGTGTTTGGTTTCTTTATACACTGGTGTACTTGCTCACAAATATTTTCATGCACATGTAAGTGGAGAAAATGGACAACAGAACATTCAGCTAGTAGAATTCGAAATACTGTTGCTGTTTTCGATACATCCAGTAAACGGAATGATAGTTAGTGAACGTAAGAGTGGAGGTATAGCCTCAAGTAAGGGCAGAGGATGACATTTTGCATAGTCACACAGCTTTGCAGAACCTTTCTGTGTTGATCGAAAATTAGTGGCCATGAAGTTTTTGGTTCAGAAGACGTGTTCACTATTAACCTTCACAGTGGCCCTGAAATACTGAAATGATAATGATTCAGTTGTTCACGCAAAAATGCAACAACATCAATGACAATGATAGCAACAACGACAATAACAGTAGGTTAGGGCGATGGTTGTCGATATACTTCTCACCACAGCAGTGTTCTCTGATAATAATATCTGTGGACAGGTTTGAGAGAGTAGTCGATGATAAAGAGCATACCATGAGAATCTTATTCGAAATTGTGATCTATGAATGAAAATTCGAATTTTGTTGCAGTTGTTTGTTTTTAGAACCTCTGAAAATTTGTATGTTGTCGATATACTTATCACCACACGAAACGGACTGATTACGGCAAATTTTGTGAATAAAGTAATAGGTGAATACTTACTACCGAACACTCATTCGAGAATGGTGAGGTTTAATGAATTGATAGAGCAGAGGCTTTCAAGTGTATGGAACATCAGTCGCCATCCATTGTCGGAAAGCGCTGATCGTGAAATCCGGCACTGCATAAGGAGTTTAACTGGTAGTGCCTCCCTGGGTTCAATTCAGAAGTGAACTTGAATGGATTTTTTCAGTTCATATGAAGAAAAAATAGGGTTGATGCATGAATGTCCACTACAAAAGTGGACATTCATCGGCTTCTGTCATTCATTACGTTTTGGTGATAACATTAAATTTCCGTGATTTATTGGATTTATCCAATTTACGTGTTATTTGTTGTCAGTATCTGTAGAATATTTGATGCGTTTAATCGATCAAATTCACATTTTGTAATATATTACTGAATTGCGCCAAACGGTCAGAACTTTTGACTGATCAAGTTTAAACACTGTCCATTTAATGTAGAATTTGCTGGTCATCTTGGTGTATGAAGAGGCTTGTAGAATTGACAAAAATCAACATTTCGTGACACTCTGACAAAAAATAAGCCAAATCGGCCTGATCTTTCGCACGAAATGTTTGGGTGAGTGCGATATTTGTTTGGAATTATTCGTCAACGTTAATTTCCATAGAGCGCAATTCAGGTTATGCAACTTTTTTTGCATTGTTGCATTGTTGTTCTCAACAGTGCTTTCTGACAATAGCTTAAATGTGTGTTATTTGGTCATAGCATTGAGCGATATGAACATGATTATTCTTTCATAATCATGTTCATAATATGTGAATATCTATTATATGTTTGAAATCTCATTTCGGCAAACTCGATGACCATCAGGGGCTCGTAATCCAGAGCGAAAACATTTGGGAGTTCTTTTAGCGAATACTATCGGTAGCAATTAGAGAACAGGTCACAACTCGGTGAGGGTTAGCAAACCAGATTGGGCACGCCCAAACTTTGCTGAATGTAAAAGAAAAATTATTCTTTTCTTCCCGACCGGGAATCATTCCCAGTAGTGGAATTTTCGTACCTGCAATGTAACGCTGGGGTTACGAGCCACTGTATTGTTGATAGATGTTGTTCTTATTATTGTATGAAAGTTTCTGATGAATTGTAAAAATTTGTTTATTTAATGGAAACTTAATTAGGTATTGTTTTACTATTGATAATATGAATGCATAATTGTTGCCGATTCAACGTCACCGATTCACCGCGACTTTCATCAGTCTCAACGTCCAGAGCAACACCAAGCATGATCTCGTCTAAAATGTTTCAATGTAAAATTGGATATCCTCAATAAAACCGATATATCCAACGCCCATATTCCACCCGAACCTCCCTCAATCCAAAGCAAGACCATTATTACCCAACAATGATGCAGTCAATATCCAGAGCAGAAACCCTTGCTGACCAGTGCCCATCTAGTTGTAATCAGTCAACAGTCCCAATAATATGAATAGTGAAATGGACCACAACCTCAATTCAAAGCTGTACCAAGAATTTTATCATACGAAGTCAAATCAACAGGAATATCGATAACAACTCCACCAGTGCTGCAAGTATTTTCGATAGTATCAATTGTTCAATGATGCCGTTGACAGAATATCGTCATGGTGTACACTCCTAATCAAGGCTCGACGATTTCAGTCCGTATGAACCCGTTTGCTGCATTATCAATCAAATACAATACAGTTCCCTACCTGAATAATCAACTGTTCAATCCGAACCTCATCAAGGCCCTCACCCAACAATCATGACTGTTTCAACCCCAATCGATGAGCAGTTGTTCGTTGTGCTATTGCTTCAAACCAGCTATTTGCAGCAGTCCAGCCGCATCAACAGCGGTACTTCTCATTGTTAATCAAC